AGTGTGATTATTGTCGCCGACTAGGACATCTCAGGGCTACTTGTTGGAAGCTCCATCCGGAGCTTAAGTCTCCTTCTCGCAACCGCATTGTTGCCATTGGTAAGGCACCACCACCTACAGTTATTGTTCCTGCTACTATTGCTACTACTCCTCCTTGGCAGAGTGATATGAATGCTATCACTTCTCGCTTGGATATACTTATATCGGCCTTGACTTCTCGAAGTCCGACTACTACTGCTGCGACTACTACAGGTATACCTCGTGTCTTTCATACTTGCGTTAGTTTGTCTCCCCTTTGGATGTTGGACTCGGATGCTAATGGTCATATGATTAGTGAGGCCCATCATTTCACCTCTTTTGACGAGCAGTTGCATACTCAAGTTCAATTAGCAGCTGGTACACATGCCCCTATTTTTAGTAGGGGTACATTCCGTCTCCCAGATGGCTTTACATTACGTTCGGTGTTTCATGCGCCAAAGTTGGTTATGAATCTATTATCTGTACATCAGTTAGCCAGAAATTTTCACTGTGCGGTTGTGTTCTTATCTGATTCGTGTTATTTACAAGACCTGAGTACCAGGAGGATTATTATCAGGGAACATGAGAGAGGTGGACTGTATTATTTAGGTGATCCACCTCCAGTTTCACCAGTTTCTCTACCTCCACCTCCATCACCTACTTTGTCTTTATCTGTTCCTAGCTTGCATGCTAGTATTTTACCTATTACTTGTCGTTATGATTTTTCATCACAAATTGCTCAGTTGTGGCATGATCGTTTTGGACATACAAATTTTAAATATTTATGTATGTTATTTTCTGCTCCGAGCAAAGCTTGTGTTAGTCGTAAACTTAACTGTGTGATATGTTCCCTATCAAAACATATTCGGACCAGTTATATTACTCGCATGCACCAGTCACCCAAATCATTTGACCTAATATACGCTGATATTTGAGGACCCTCTCCTGTTACTGCTCTATCAGGTGTCCGATACTATGTAACATTTATAGATGACCATACTCGTTGTACTTGGGTCTACCTTTTGCATAGGAAGTCTGATGTATTCCCTACAATCATTTAGTTTCTACAGATGATTAAGACACAATTCGATGTCATTGTTCGTGCTTTTCGTTCGGATAATGTCAAGAGAATATGTGTCTGATGCCTTAGTATCTCACCTTTCTTCTCAAGGTATTCTTCAGCAACTCACTTGTCCATATACTCCTGAGCAAAATGGCGTTGCTGAAAGGAAAAATAGGAGTCTGATAAGGATGGTACATTGTATGCTTAGAGGTATGGGGGTGCCAAAATCTTATTGACATTTTACTATTTTGACATCTACTTTTCTGTGCAATCGTTCGCCGAGTCATGTTCTTCAGCATAGAGCTCCCTTACAAGTCTTATTTCCTGAGCAACCACTTTTTTCGGTCCCCCCTCGTGTTTTTGGATGCACATGTTTTGTTCAAGATCAATCTTCTACTCGTTATAAGCTTGATGATAAAGTAATTTGTTGTGTCTTTGTGGGCTATTGTCATCACTCTAAGAGATATCGGTGTTATAATCCTGTTAGGCGTCGTATGTGTCACAGTCTAGATGTTACATTTCTTGAGTATATTATTTATTTTTCTTCAAGTCATGTTTCTGCCCCTCCAGTTGATGATATTCCCTTTGATTTTTCATTACCCCCGGTGCCAGAACCAGAGCCACTATCATTACAGAGTCACCGGTCTATCCTCCTCTAGAGTCACTTATCCCTGTCAGTACAGAGTCACTAGTCTCTCTTCCTTTGCAAGTTTATGTTTGTCGCCCTCGCTCTCATCCCCCTGCTGATGTCCCTTCTACCTCAGGCTATGTAGGTTACACTTCTCAGTTCGTTGAGCATATTGATGCACCTGTTGTTAGTACTTATGAGATTGCAGGTACTAAGCTAGTTATTTTACCTGATGAGACATTGTCAGTGGAGAATGATGATTTAGGGCGTCGTTATCCACGGCGTGATCGTCGTCTAGTTGTTCTTTATGGTTGGACCGCCAAGATTTTATACCCGATCTTTGTTTATGTTTCTTATGGTGATCTGTCTCCTAAATTTTGGGTTTATAGTATGGCCTTATCAGATATGCCGGTTCCTCGCTCTATTTCAGAGGTTATGCAAGAGTCTCAGTGGATTCTTGCCATACAGACAGAGATGGACGCTCTTCAGCGTAATCATACATGGGATCTTGTCTCTTTACCTTCAGGGGTCAAGCCTGTTGGCTGTCCTTGGGTTTACACACTGAAGTTTCTTGCGGATAGTACTATTGATCGTCACAAGGCTAGGCTTGTGGCGAAGGGCTTTACTCAGGTACCATATCGTGATTTTGGTGCTATATTTGCCCCCGTGACAAAATTGACTATTGTTCGACTGATTATTTCTCTGGCTGCGGAGTACTTTTGGCCTCTTCATTAGTTGAATATGAAGAATGCATTTATTCACGGTGATCTGGACGAGATTATTTATATGGATGCACCATCGGACTTTCGTGGTGAGGGGGAGTATGCTGGAAAGGTATGTCGACTGCGTAAGTCTCTTTATGGACTGAAACAGTCACCACGAGCCTAGTTCTCTCGCTTTACTGATGTAGTTGTACGTTTAGGGTTCACCAGATGTCATTCTGATCATACCTGCTTTATTCGACGAAATATTTCTAAATAGTATGTCATCCTTTTGGTATATGTTGATGATATTATTATTACTGAAGATGATATTTCTGGGACTGCGTAGGTCAAGGTAGACCTTGGGAAGGTCTTTATGTGAAGGACCTTGGATTTTTGCGATACTTTCTTGGGATTGAGGTTGCCTGTAGCAGCAGAGGTATTGTTCTTTCTCAGAGAAAGTATGTGTTGGATCTTCTCTCAGACACTAGGATGTTGGGGTGCAAACCGGCATCATCACCCATGATTCCAAACCTGAAGTTTACTGCTGAAGGTGAGGAGTTGAGAGATCCGACTGTCTATCAGAGATTGGTAGGTAGACTTATCTACCTAGCTAACACTAGACCAGACATTTTATTCGTTGTCAGCTGAATTAGTCAGTTCATGCATAGACCATGTCAGCCTCATCTTGATGCAGTTTATCATATTCTTTGGTACCTCAAGTCTTGTCCTGGACTTGGGTTATTCTATGCATCAAGATCTCAGACTGGTTCTCTAGCCTGTTATTCAGATTCAGATTCAGATTATGGGGGAGCATGTGACGGTCGATCTACTACAGGCTTCTGTACTTTTTGAGAGACTCATCTTATCTCTTGAAAGAGCAAGAAGCAGTCAGTTGTCTCTCGCTCGTCAGCAGAGGCAGAATATCGGGCACTGGCACTTGGCACATGTGAGATTATCTGGTTATGATCGATTCTTGGCGAGTTGGGATTTCCAGTGACTTCTTCATCTACATTATATTGTGATAATCGATCTGCTATTCAGTTTGCTTCTGACTCTGTATTACACGAGAGGACGAAGTATATAGAGATCGATGTCCATTTTCTTCAGGAGAAGGTTAACAGTGGCACTGTCACTCCATCGTTTTTATGGGGACCAGTGATTAGGTTACGGATGTTTTTACCAAACTTGTCACTCTATCTATTCTTTGGGACTCTGTTGTCAAATTTGACTTAGTTGACATTTTTGCGCCTTGCTTAAGGGGGAGTGTTGGAGATATAACAGTAGCCTAGTTTATTAAGGTTTATTAAGTTTTCCTTGTTTTCCTTTTTTACCTTTTTATCCTATTGTAACTTTTATTGACTATATTTACAGGGGCTCTACACTTAGTTTGTATCCTTTTTTCACTCACATCTATCTCAAGTATATCAATAGATTTGGTGACTATGACTTTAAAGACTCGATGTTGGACATGGCTCGGACGACTCATTCAAGTCGCGTGGACTCGGGGCATGCGAACTCGTGGTTTATATGAAATGTGGAATGGTATCGGATTGGAAGGTTCCGAGTTGGATACTATCAGAGGCAGAGCCAAGATTCTATCTTAGAGATGACAAAAACATGAATGAAAAGTTTTTCCCAGAGCTCTATTAGTACAGATTAAATTGTGTGATATTTTCATATATTCATATCCAAGAATTAATCACTAGAAGAATATTATAATTAGTTTCAAGTTAACATTAAGAAAATATGAACAAACAAAGATGACCTCTGAATATTAACAGAAAATAGTCATTTTGTTTGGCAGCCTTAGACAAATATGGTGTACCTGACATGCTCTAGAATCTAGATCATGATTAAACTTCCTAGATGTTTGAAATGAACTAATCAATTTAGAAAAAAACAAGAACCAGTCACCTACAACTCCTCAGCCTGATGAAACATCCAAGAAGAACCTATGAATATCCTTAGTCATTTTCTGTAGCTTGCAGATATGGACGATGGACAATTCTCTGAATTTTCTAAATGCTTGTACATATGCAAAAGTCATAGATGATGTAACATTGATGTTACTCAATATAATAAAGACATTTCCGATATAATTGATGGTTGTATCATGTCAAATTTTATTAAACCCATCCATGACCTATATATATATATATATATATATATATATATATATATATATATAGTTCTATTTATGTCATGAATAGTCAAATTCTTTTACCTTGTCACTCGATGAGTCTGGAGGGACAACCCGATTTCAATTCTAACCCATAAAAAATGTTTGCATATCTGATAATTCTGTGTCGATTACATATCACCAGCCCGTTTGGGTGATGCTACATGTATTGCTACCAAGGGGATAATGAATAGAAAAAAAAAAAAAAAGAAGCCTTCATATTTTCATACAATATATAAAAGCAGTCAATGATTACCAAATTGACAAGTCAGTTAGGAACTAAATTTAAATTATCCATTGCTTATGATGATCAACACGTTGACAAGTCAGAAGAAACCTTATTCAAGTTGTCTAAGCTTAAGCTATTTTAATTCTGTTTCTTTGCTTATATATATACCCGTCTCTGATATGAATAACAAGAAGGGAAATAAACAGTTTTTGATTAATATGTATGTGACAAGGCCTCTCTCTCACTACATAAGATTTCCAGAATCTCTTTCATTACCCCCTGAAGGTCCCAATTCTGGTTATTTAGTAATACAAGATGAAGAATCTGAGACATATACATGTTTTGGATTGTGCAAGGACCGCTTCCTTGCAGACCTGCCGTTCCCTCAGAACAAGGATCTAACCATGCGATATTCATCAGGGGCAGGCGAGCACGAGACTGTATTTCATGACGGTGTTTCCTTCATTCCAGTCCTTAATCTGCCATTGTCTTCTAATCGTTATTATGCGATAAAGCCTCATGGGAATCATAAAGGGTATGCAAGCTCTACTAAATGAACTCAATTTCTTCTTCTTCTTTTTCTGTTACTGCTGTTTAAGCTTTGGACACTAAGATCGACCCATATTTTCATCAGTATCATTCAATTGTTATAAGTTTTGCATTCATAATTTCGCGTAACATAAAAGATTCAGCATGATATAACAGATTAAGGTCCAGATCTTAGCAGGAGTATAGACATCAAGAATTTAGGAAATAAAAATAGTGCATCTAGGCGACATGGACCCGAGCAAGGTCCATTCATAGCTTAGCAGGATTATAGAACAATTCCACAGTTACAAACCAAAATTCAGGGCCAGTTCTGCAGCAAAACAAATTATACGGGACTGAGCAGCTATTTATTGTGTATATTAAGCTTTTCTGTTTACCATTTGACGTCTGCAATGCTATATAGAATCCTGATATTAAATTTTTCCCTTTCGAAACAGTTTTTAAAGGAAATAATCAGGTAACTGTTTTACTTCCCTGGATGGATATGGACAAGCTTTGCTTAAATACCCTTTCTTCAACTGCCTTTTCAGGGAAGCATACACTTCTTCAAGGGAGGAAGACATGGCCACTTGCTGTTTTTGCCGTTGCATCCGAGATGTAAAATCAAGACCATTGGATCCAGATGACAGGTATCAGCAATTTGATATTGCTCTTTATGAAAAAAGTTGCATTGCCAAGGGTCATTTTTATGCCAAGTCGGTAGCACCTGATGGCTTCCCCCCTCACTTCTTGAGGAGAAAAGGGTGGCAAATTTATGGGAAAACTCCCAAAAACTACAAATTAGGCGAAGCTCCAGGCCTCAATGCTGCACTCCGAGCACGCCTGCCAGAATTCAACTTCCCAATGTCCTATAAAAGCTCTGAAAGCGTCGTTGTGGGGAAATGGTATTGTCCTTTCATCTTTATCAAAGATGGAAATTTGAGAGATCAAATGAAAAGATCGATGTTTTATGAGATGACACTCGAGCAAAGATGGGAGCAGATTTTCGCATCTGAGAATAATTCCAGAGAAGGGAACAGTGTGTTTGTCGATGTTTCTGTTCAAACAAAAGTTGTCTCTGTTGTTCCTGGCAAGGAAGCCGTGTGGAATGAGAGAGAGGTGGACGATGGGGCGATATGGTTCAGGAATTTTGGCAATGTAGGAGAGGGAGTAAGTGTGGGATTAAGGGTAGAAATTGTTGAGAGAATGAAATGGGAGCAAGAAAGAGCAGGCTGGGTTGGTGGGGAAGACAGGCAAGCAAGGGTGAAGAGAGTGGAGGAGTTTGGAGGCATTGGTGGATGGAGAAAATTTGGANTTTAATAGAATGAATAGTTAACTCCAAAAATAGTGAATTTTAATAGAATGAAAGTCTTAATTCACTCTCCAAAATTTATAAACAATGAATTTCATCAAATTTTAATGTCTCGAAGAAAAACTAACTAATGAATTTACCTATATCTTACACTTTGTTTTCCATAAATTTTCTTATTTTGAATTTATCTGTTTTAATAAGTCTTAAATTTTCAAACTATTGTAGGTAAATTTATCTATATTGATAAAAATTTTATTTTCATTATATGTAAAATTTATATATCTTTATTATAAACTTAGTTTTTGATGATATTTTAGTTGAGTATAGTAAAATTCTTATTTTCATTGCATGTAGCATAAATTTATCAATAAGATAGATTTTGTTTTCGATGATTCTTTTGTTTTAATATGTATTAGATTTTTAAAACTTTTATTGGTCAATTTATCTATATTAATAAAATTTTAATTTTTTTATTATTTTTTTAATTTGTCTGTTTTATGTATTTTAAATTTATCTATTTTATCTGTTTTAATTTATCTTTTAAGTTTATCTGTTTTATCTATTTTGAATTGTCCAACCATACTTTACTGTTTATGCATTAAATAGATCTAATTTATTCGAAGGAACTATGAGTAAATCAGAATCAACGTCAAATTACCAGATAAAAAACGAAATAATTCGAAACTCACATCTATATGAACAAGAAAAACACCAAAATCAAAGGCATTGAACTTTGGCGTAGCCTGGACTATCGAAATCTTCAATATTATTTTGTTAATTATACCCGCTTAAAGCCCATCTTTATTAATTTTAAGAAAAATTACAAGAAGCAAAGAGGGCATATGACCCTTCCACCAACATAAAATAAAATTACAGGTATTGAAAACTTAAAAAGTAAGCATCTTCCGATCCTTTATAGCTTGGCCGAGAGCAAAGATTAAAATTTTGTTTTGAAATAATCGAAACTTCCAAATCATTTTTGTTTTAAAGGAGATCGAAACGAAATCATTATAGAATCGAAATTTTAATATTTTGTAATGAGTCCGAATTTTACTGAGTCAAGCCCAATAAAAATTAATCGAGAAAGTCCAAATCAAAATTGGGTCAACCCATCAGGAGAGAGTCCAAAGCACCGAAGGAACCAAGANGCCAAGCCCAATAAAAATTAATTGAGAAAGTCCAAATCAAAATTGGGTCAACCCATCAGGAGAGAGTCCAAAGCACCGAAGGAACCAAGAGGCGTCAAGTATTTCAAAAAAGGGGCGCTGCCCAAGGGTACCCCAAGGAGACGCCACCCAGGTGGTCTCCAAGAGGGCGCCGCCCATGGTTTGCCTTCCTGTCCCTCTTCTCCACTCTAATGCAAGTCCAAGTCCACACCACTCCAAGTTCAAGCTCAAGATCAGGATCAGTCCAGCTCAAGATCATCCTCCGACGGAATAGGGATACAAGCGAGATAATATCGGGATGCAGAGATCCATTCCTACTAAGGTTATACTTACCAAGATAGTGGAAGACCCCTTCCTCACGTCACTGCCTTGGTATGCCTATATAATGTAAATCCTCTACATATAGAGGACATACCTTCATCACCTTGAAATCTCTACACATACTACACATTCTTACATACATTGTTCTCTCTCTCTCTCTTTCTCTCCCTATCTTGGAGAATACTCTCTCCGGTGACTTCACTCATTAATAAAAAGACTCAGGTCACCGCTGCCATTCCCGAGAGTGAAGAGGTCACTCGGACCGAACTACTATAATTCTCTGTATTGGCTCCTTATTTACAGCTTTATTATTAATTGTTTTATTTATTGCTCATTAACTCCACCCGTTCATACACTTGATTGTTGATTTTACACAAAAACCAATTTGAGCATCATCACTTTGATATGTTTCATAATGTTTCGAGGTATTTTTATAATATTTCATTACATTTGCATAATTGTTTCGGAATGTTTTAAAGTATTTTGATATATTTCGATCAGTGTTTTAAAAAAATAATTTTTTTAATTTTTATTTATTTATATTCTAATTTTAAAATAGGTCAAAATATTTCTGAAACACGTCAAAACATTTTTATTTCTCAGGTGATCAAAATAATATACTGAAATAAAAAGTTTGATCCTTCGTCATAGTCTCCTACTAGGGTGAGTTTGTTAAGTTAAATTCAGCACTTAAAATCAATGTATTTAGCGCTTATTAATTAAGTTCGTTTAATAACTAAAATTTGAATATCTTAATGTATTAAGTACTTCTTAAAAATAGGGTAAAATATTAAGTATAAAATTTCTTACTTTATTTTTAAAGCTGGAAACGCTCAACAAAAATATCTTTAATAATATTTACAATATGATAATTATACTCCAAAATATTTCACAATCCTCTAAAACTACAATCAGTCTTGTCTCCAAAATCTCTAATCTATCTATCCTCCTCACAGACACAAATCACATGCACACACACATGTTGCACACATACAACACACGCTGCACATATTGTGTTATTCAATTTGTTATTATTCTAGTCGTCTTTGGTATTGGTTAACAGTTTATTTGTCCAACTATTTTATATGTATTTGTTGAATTTGCTATTGTTCAATTCTTTTTTAGCTTAATTATTTTTTTGTATTGGACTAATTATTTATTTATTCAATTTATTTTTTTGTTGAAGGTTAATTGTCTTGTGTTCTTCAATACTTGTAATTTATGTTATAGTGACTAAAATATGATAATAGTGATTTATGATTTATGTTATGAGTTGAACTAATTTGATATATCATAATTTTTTATTAGATAAAAATATATTTTATAAATATTTTCAAAGAGTATAAGGGTAAAATTGAAAATTAATTTATTTTCAGATATCATCTTTATATAGTTATCAAACAGTTTGGTTCATTTCAGTACTTAAATTTCATTGGGTACCAAACAGTCCACTAATTCAGTATTCAGCTTTTANATAACATTATAGTACCGATTTCTTTTTCCCCATATTCATACTTTATAAATGATTTTGGTCACTCTTAAATATCCCAAGGAGAAGTCAGCATATGACAGTCACAAACTCGAAACCTTGTTCAAGTTTCTAAGCTAAGCTATTTCGATCTCTTTGCTTACACATACACATATATCTCTTCTACAAACTGCAAGAAAGGAAACAAACAGTAGAGGGAAAGAAAGTTTGGTCAATATGTATGTAATGATGTTGTTGCCTTCATTCCAGTCCTTGATCAACCATTGTCTTCCAATCGTTATTATGAACAAACTTGATTTTATCCTTCTTCTTCTTTTGCACTTTGGGGGCTCTAAGATCAATCCGTTTTTTCCTTTTGGTATTCATATTATTCAGTTCAGGCATAGTTATATTGAGAAATTTCATTCAAAACTGTTTTTAAGAGGAATAATCATGTAACTGATTTAATCATCTGCCCTCCGTGCACGCCTTCCTGAATTTAACTTTTCAATGTCCTACAAAAGCTCTGAACTCATCATCGTTTGGAAGTGGCATTGTCCTTTTATCTTCATCAAAGACGGACCATTGAGCGATCAAATGAAACAATTGATGTTTTATGAGATGACACTCGAGCAAAGATGGGAGCAAATTTACTCATGTGAGAATAACTTCAGTGAAGGAAACACTGTGTTTGTTGATGTTGTTGTTCAAACAAAAGTTGTCTAGGTTGATGGCAAGGAAGTCGTGTGTGGAATGAGAGAGAGGTGGTCGATGGGGCAGTGTGGTTTAGGAGTTTAGGTAATGTGAGAGGAGGAGTAAGTGTGGGATTGAGAGTAAAAATTGTTCAAAGAATGAAATGGGAGCAAGAAAGAGCAGGCTGGCTAGGTAGGGAAGACAAGCAAGCAAGGGTGAAGAGAGTAGTGGAGTTTGGAGGGGTTGGTGAGTGGAGGAAATTTGGATGCCATGTGCTGGTTGAAAGGTTTGTATTGAAAAGAATGGATGGAAGCTTGGTGATGACTTATGATTTCATGCACACTCATCAAATCAAAATCAAATGGGAATGAGATCATTATGTGTTATCCTGTTTTATAGATATGTCCTCCAAAGTTTGTTGTGTTTGCTGAAGAATTAAACCTTGATTTTGTTTTTCTAAAATTTGATTTATATGAATCACTTATTTCACTATATTGAGAAGTTATGTAGTAATGTTGTTGAACAAAATTGTGAGCTCAGAACAGAGAATGCCAATGCTTTATAGTTTTATACATTTTTGTTTCTGTTTGTTCTTTTTCACAATGGTGTATTGCATTGGATACTCGAGGCAATGACAGCATGGTTGGTATCAATCATCGACACGGAGCGCACTAGGACACATCGTTTAAAATGTGGCGGAATGGTGTTACGGCAAAATTCTGCGTAGAATAAAAAGTTTAACATCACAAGATATTGAAGTCATATTGCATCTTGGCAGAATGATATTTATTAGAAATATAGCAACAGTCTAGTTTATTAGGGTTTTTCTTGTTTTTCTTTTTTACCTTTTTAATCTTATTGTAATTTTCATTGACTATATATACGGGGGCTCTACACTTAGTTTGTATCCCTTTTTCACTCACATCTCTCTCAAGTTAGTATCAAACCCACTCTAACCTTAACCTTAACCCCAACCCTAACCCTAACCCTAACCCTTCCCCTAACTCTAGCCCCTCCTCCACATTGCAGCCACCAGCCACCACACTGCCACCAGCAGTAACCTTCAGCCACGCCAACACAAACCAGCGACCAGAACCATAAACCAACATTAAATCAACAGCATCACCCATGTGCCAGAACCATAAACTAGCGACAGCCTTACTCCATTGAAGCAGCGAACCAACATTAAATCAACAGCATCACCGACTGCCTGGCCTTATACCCACTGCCCACTCAGCCAAACCTCACCGATAGCCCATTCACCAAACCAACATCCCAATAAACCTAACATCCAATACCCACTGCCCAGCGGCAAAACGAAAGCCACCGACAAATTCACTCCAAGGCATTCCCATCGAAC